ATTGTTGAAGAGTTGATCTAACCTTTGTCGATCGGTTAGGTCTCCTCGTTTAAGAATCGAGCGTTTTAAGATTTCGTAAGGATCGGAAACATCACTAGTAAACATACTAGGTGTTACGTACCTGTTGAATTCGCGCGGTAGTGCCTTGACTACTGCGAGGAATTGTGCACGTGTGTCGATCACGCCGTGCTCGGAGAAGTCGGCTTCTGCGTAGCAGAACCAGGCTTCGATGTTGTCGGGCCAGAAAGGCATGAGTTGAAACGAAGGCGGAGACAAAGTCTTAAGCTTAAGTACTTTGGGTGTCTGTTCAGTCATGATGAAATATGAAGTACGATAATGAACGAGGGGAAAATATATATACATATATGTAGAACTATGGTCTACTATTATATTAGTACTGCTCTAATAATAGACCTAATCCTAAATTTGTAGATTTGTCATGATATAACTGCCTAATCTATAAGATCTTACGTGGAAGTCACACCATCGACTACACCAACTCACTGTATCGTATCAATTACCAATACATGATGTAGAACAAGGTTAGGCTAGAGAAAGAACAATATATTTAATATGAATAGAAGATATAAGGTAACATTCAGATGGACCACGCCTGCATGGCCGAGCCATGCCATCCGATCAACTCCAGTCCATTCAATTCATTGTTCGCGCCTTCTCCATTGTTAGGTATTTCTCCGCGTTAAATATTGAATATCTATTTTCTGAGTAGTCTCGTGTTCACAGCTTTGTGGATTGTGTGGCTATTGTCCAATGCCACTACACTACTCTCCCACCAGAATCAACGTGATGTTGGTTCGATACCAAATTGGATGGGATCGTCGCGCGCCGGAGGTTACCAAGGATAATAAGAATCCTCCGGGTATTGGTAAGCTGAAAGATAAATCAAAAAGAAAGCGGCAGCATCTGGTCGGGAAATACATGTAATAATTTTAAAATATCTGCCTTCATGCTTAAAACGCTTGAAATGAAAATTTGGGTGAAGATTATTTGAGCTATAAAAAATGGGGTTACAATAATAATAATAATAAAACGATGCGTGTTAATAGCCGTTGGTTAATAACTTAACGTATAGGTAGTAAGTATTTTGTGTTTAGAAATATTAAAGGAATGAATATTGTAGAAATGTTAATATTGGTATTAGTTTTGGTTTAAATTATGAAATCAAATAACGATTATGCCGGTAAGTTGTCCATATGAGTTGATTCCAATTGCATCTGTATTAGTAGGCTAACTGAAGGAACAAAAGTATACCGTGGAGAAGAATTCCAACTAGTGTTCCAGTTAGTTTGATACGGTTTATTTAGTTACGGGGAGATTTTCTCAACCTCATTTTTACTTGACCGTGATAGAATTTAGTAATACTACTAATACACATGAATGGTTATCAAAACAAAATTTAAATACGTGAGTGATAATTATATGAATTTTGGACAGATAGCTAGGAACAAATCGTTAAACATGAGTGTATTCGTAAGAGACATGCTCTAGACTCAATGTTCTGATCTGTGGCAGACTATTTATTTATATTTATACTTGCCGGCTGATTGGGCATACAAGTTAGTTGCAAGTATGCAGTTTATCATAAGGCGGAATACGATTTAATTGAGATATAGTGGTTATAAGTTATTAAAATCAGTTAGGCCTGTGTCATATTACGAAGTGATGTGGTGCTGCAAGATGTATTTAGCTAAATAAGTTTTTACAAGATGATTAATAGTGAGTGATGCTCATGTGATTATCAGGGAGAACATAAGTTGTAACCAGGGGAGTACACTCCCAACTCATGTCTATGATAATGGCTTGAACCTTAGTCAGTGTTGGGGTAAATTCGACATTGATGTTTTCAGTTTGCAGGAGATTTGCTCGACTGCTTATACTGATTATTTGCATGCATGATTGTGTCGCTAAACCATCAATTAGACTGACAAGGTTTTGAGATATTTACTGAATGAGCAACTGATAGAGAAACATACTGTAATCATCTGTAGTGAATGAAGATAAAAGAAAAACAACACTAGTGATAATTATAAGTCAATTTGTTGACCGATTTTGTTAATAGTTTCATTAATTTTATCAATCATATTACGTGATTGTCAAGTCATGACAATGCTTTATGACGATATCCTGAAACTATTATTTAACTAGTTATAGTGTTGATTGAGGATTAGTCAGTGGAAAAATAGGTATTGTTGCTTTAGGTGATTCGAAATCATCAGAAATTTATAACGTTAAAGAATCCGAGACGCCTAATTTAATTATAAATTTCAATTCAGAAATATTCGTTTAGTGTTAATTCTAGTAGGCTACGGAGTTTTGATTTTAAACGTTTGTTTAGCCAACAGCTACCTAGGGATTTAGTTATTTTACTAGTGCAGTTGATAGTACCTAAATTTTTAATCTTATTATCTAAACTATGTTCGCATTTTAGGCTGCTAATATAATAAACTAATCCATAAACCCAAATACGATTAGCAACAACGACTATGATGGGTTTATTGATAAATGTTAAAGGTGATTCAGATGATTTCTAAATTTAGAAGACATGAAGATATAGTGCAACGCATGTATGGGCCAGGTTAACATGCAGGTTGTTGACGTATATGACAATTTGAAAATAATGAACATGACCAGAAAAATAATTTTAAAGTTAAGACTGCTTATGAAACTTCAGGCAGGAATATGACGCGTTATAAACATTCCGTAAGAAGTTAATGCATTTAGCCTAGGGACACTTACAAATATGTGGCAAAAGCAACTAGAAAAGATATACATGTTAAGTGCAAAAAATCATTAAGTAAAATAGTTGAACTCGCCTGGGTTATTTTTGAAAAATAGATTATTCAGTAGACGACATATATAACGCCATTCGTGAGTAGTAATGATCCAAAAGTATCCAGAATAAAACATTCAGTATGGCAATTAATTCCAGGGTGCTTGATGGTGTTGACGTTTTTGCCACTCGCCCGGATTAGAACAATCGAATGAATCCAGATAATTTTTTGGTTGTTATTGAACGAGCCATCTAAAATGACCTTATGATTGCAGAAAACTTATAGCTGGAACTCACCGAATTTGTCATCCTTGTTGTTTGGCAATGGAACTCGAGAATATGAAATTAGGCAGGCAGTGGTCGGAAGAAAAGATATTACAGGATAGTGCATAGTTTAAAACAGGATGAGGTGTTAAGTGAAGGAGCACTAAGAATTAGATCCAGATAACTAATTAGTCCTTGCTTACGTTGTTAGTCAATGTATATTTACGTTATTTGCATGTCGTATTTGCTAGAGCTTGATGTTTAAACAAGACTATGTCGCTGAAGCATGTAAATGCTATTATAGCTTGTTAACGAACCATCAAAGCTAATTAGTTAATTTAGACGACCAGTTTTTACTATCGATTGACCTAGTATGTTATGAGAAGTAATCAATATAACATTACGATAACGCATGTGAGCATTAATCAGAGGACTATTAGAATACTGGGTTAACATATATATAAAACCGATCGAGAAAGTTTAAGTGGAAATAAGGATTAACAATATATTGTTAATCCTATTATAATAGACTGCGTTTCTTTAGTTGGGCTCAACAATGTGGAATTGTGGTCTACTATCATATTAGTACTGCTCTAATAATAGGCCTAATCCTAAATTCGTAGATTTGTCATGATATAACTGCCTAATCTATAAGATCTTACGTGGAAGTCACACCATCGACTACACCAACTCACTGTATCGTATCAATTACCAATACATGATGTAGAACAAGGTTAGGCTAGAGAAAGAACAATATATTTAATATGAGTAGAAGATATAAGGTAACAGTCAGATGGACCACGCCTGCATGGTCGAGCCATGCCATCCGATCAACTCCAGTCCATTCAACTCATTGTTCGCGCCTTCTCCATTGTTAGGTATTTCTCAGCGTTAAATATTGAATATCTATTTTCTGAGCAGTCTCGTGTTCACAGCTTTGTGGATTGTGTGGCTATTGTCCAATGCCACTACATATATACAAGAAAAAAACCACGATTTAAAAAAAAACAAAATAAGGCAATGGTATATAAAAAAATCCCAAAAAGGAACAGACTCACAGTTGCAATTAGGTGTACCAGATCACGTCGGTCTCACCAATGAAAAATGACACAGGTATTCAGTGTTTGACAACGCTTCTACCAGTAACACCTTCTAATATGATTTGTACCCACCGAGAGAAATCAAAAGACAGAGTCGAGGAGATCGGAAGAGTGTATTTGGCGATTACCAATATATCGGAATTCTCTGATCTAATCTGGCTAGCGATTGCGGTAGATGTTGAGCACGGCGTTACCACACGTGATCTGGTGCGGATGCCTGACCGAGCGCCTTCAGCTAGATGAGTCCACTAAAACATGTGGTCAGCATCCAATGTCGAAAACTTACAGGGCTATTTATTTTGGGGATTTATTTACCGCTACAATAGTATTTCCTCCCCCACTCCAGAAGGATAAGAACACTCTGGAACGTATCCAATGGCCAGCCACAAAATCAGTTTGGGGACCGAAATTCAAGCCTTACGTAAAGCACCCCTTATCACTAAACCCTTACCCACCACAGTACAGGCTTCTTAGAGGTGACCTAATAGCTTGCAGTATCCTTAATACTTCTGGACATCCCCTTAAATATCTACTCAAATTTAGCTCCAACACAACAAACCTAAGGAGGAACATCCAAAGACTGGAGACACAATACGGCAGAACGGACTGTGGACACAACTTCCAGTCCCTAAGGATTGTCAAATGCTGGAATTCGCTGCCGGCTGAGCTAATCCAAGTGACTTCCCAGGAGTCCTTCAAGAGGAAACTTGACCCATTCTTAAGGACTAGGGATAATATCTTAGGATGATTTATCAATTTATTTTACTTCAATTATCATGAATATACCGACGTTTCTGCCTGGAGGTTTAGGTGATCCCCTATTACTAGACACGGGAGCCTGTTCAGCGACAGCTTCTTCAATTCCGTCCACAACAATTTCGACCATTTGAACTATTCAGATCTCAAGGTTATTCCTAGGCCCCGTCTTTTGAACTTGTTGTGATTACTTCCACTATCTTCCGGCCTTCAGGCAGTTAGCACCAAATAATGCTTGGTAGAGATTGGTAAAAGTTTTGGCTCCAATGAGCCTTTTTTGCTTTTTATCATCTCAACCATTTATTACCTGCAAAGAGTTTTGGAAAACTTGGCAAAAGTGTAGTCAATTAAAACCAAACGTTGGCTTCTCATTAAGAAATACCGTACTTCTTGTTATAAACAGAGTGTAAATTTTTATAACTGGTTTCAAGAATAATCCATAAATATACCTTCCACCCAGTCACATATAAATGCGACATGGTGCCTTAGCCTAATTACGCGAAATGCGTACAAATGGAATAGGTTGTCCATGGGAGTGCCCTGTGTGATTTATTTCATAGCCTCAAATGTGTGTAAAGCCAAGAGGCATTCTCCTATTCTATCTTCTGTCTCTAATTTTTAGCACTAGCTGCCGTAATTTTATTATCTGAAAGCGTAAAACATCACTGCGCTATAGTTAGCTTCAGTTCGTTATGAAAACTGTAACTTTAATCCCTAACCCCAACATTAACTCATAACCAGCCCAACTCCAAATCCTTAACCCTAGCTTTTTTGTGTCATACCTAATGTAAGTCAGTGTTGAAAACCTTCATCCTTATTAAAAACTTTGTCACAGATAACATCCAAACGAAATCTTTCTCCGTTTACCAAATTAAAATTTGCTCGAGTTTAAGGCCTTCCTCATCAAAGGTCATTACTTGTACTAAACTTCTACCGTCGCAAAAGTAAAACGTTTCTAATTCAAATTCGCAAACTTATTAACTAAATAAGGTTTATTATCATACTAATTAGGTGTCCCAAAGAACCTCGTCCACTCACTTAATTTTTTAATCTTTTTTTTCATATGCCCCTCTGGCTGTAATAAGCAGTTCTACTCTAGATTTTAGTATTGAAATGTTAAACATTTTAACCAAGTGTAAACGACAGAGGTCAGAACCTTCTATTTATACGAACTTTATGTTTACTCTGTTATCCCCAGAAGAGCTCACTAAGTTATAAAGTAAGTGGTTACAATCTCAAACTCCGTATCAGACACAAAAAAGAGTGAATATAAACTGGAAGCTATGGAAATTGGTAATAATATGAACACTAGTTTACTAGTGAGTGCAACAGAAGACTATTCCGCGAATCTGGTTCGTTTTCAACCAACGGTATACAGTCACTTATTCCTTACTGAAGCTGTCTTCTGGATTAGCTATGGCTTCATTAGTGTATCATGCAATTCAGGGTGAACAAGCCAAAGATGCAGCAAAGTACTGTTATTTCACTGTTTCCTCTTGAAAGTTACCATCCCATGACTATATCATAGACAACCACAAATACCATCAGATATGTTCTCCGTGATTTGATAACCTGAATTGACCAATATGTCACACTCAACTTAGAAGGATACTGAGCGAGAAAACAACAAGTCCTCCTAATATATTTTTGGGCAGCTGGTTCGTTCATTCTGAGGCACTAATATTTTTCTAGTCTTCCTCATCAGCATTCTAAGATCTTTCCGATATATTCCCATCGCATCCAGTTACCCATTACTTACCACCATTCACATTAAGAGTAGGTAAAGCATTGACACTGATATCATGTTAGTAAAAGTAAAAGGGTAAGGAAATGCGTTTAAACCTATGAATGTCAGTCAGTTATCAACACAGGGCTTTACACACGTATGCAACTCTGCAATTGACCAATTATCACATCAGTAGACTGTGGGTCAATAACACTCATATCTGAAATCTTGTATGGAAGTATTTAATAAATCAAAGGTTTGACTGGAGCTCAGTGATGTTATACAAGATTTCACACTCATTCTTATGGGGTGTACAGTACCTACAAGCTGACTGGAGATTAAATATGTGAGACTTACTCCTTGCTATCATATGAGAATATACTGTGAAATTTTGGGCATTAGTTGCTGGGATCAATATGATTTTGGTTGCCAAAATCCATGTCTGAATGCTCATCAACTTTCAGTGAACTGATTGAACAGATCTGTTCGCTAAATAATATGGTGGACACTAAGCCTGATAATCAGACTTCGATTTCGTAGTTCCGTGAATAACCTACAAAATCAGTGTTTAAAAATCACTCCTGTTTTAAATAATTTTAGACCATACTTATTTTATATAAAAGTGCTTAAGTTTTACTGCATAAAACGACCAGTTTTTGTTGACTAGTTATTTTCTTTAGACAACTGTTCACTTTGTGCTTCCTGCGTCACTAATCCAGACGTGTAAGTAATTATCACAATACCTTCAAATGCCCTGGTACGGCCGAGGTTGCAGAGAGTCAGCTCTCTCCGAATGCTCTCACATGGCCATGCGTATACAGTCACTGCCACAGAAGTCCTACTCACTGCCTTCTCGCGACTAGGGTGTTATCTACGAAATTGAGAGGATGAGAAGCGAATATCCGGCGCTTCAACTGAGTTGGTGGATATGGAGGATCCGTCTAGGAGAGTTGGAAAACTCTGATTCCAAACGAATGGTGCATATGAGCTCCAGGATCTTGAGGGAAAATGCCGTGTTAGCGCATTTCTGGTCACTGGCTATCATGGGACTGCTTCTCCTAACGTTGCTCCACTGCCCTGTGGATTAGACTTGTAGGTCAAAGGCTTGGGGAATGGCTCCCTAAGAAAACCGCCTGCTTCAACTTTGGCAGTATTCTAGTTCTTACACATATCGAATGATTTGTGTGACATATATATTTGATGTCTTATTGTATCAATGTTTATGTGTTCAAATAAATGGTAATAGTAACATCTTAATTCAGGTGATCAGTAGACGAAATCATGCAATTTTGATTCGGTATGACAAGTAACAACACGATTGGAATGTAGCTCTCATGAAATCTTTTAAATGAATTTAGTATCATTTTGAACAAACAATGCTTTAAGGTCAAAACTAGTAAGAATCAAAGATCCAGTACACAGGAAGGAACAACAAATTTGTCTTTATGAAATCGAATGTAGTGACTGTAATGCTACATATGTAGGTGAAACATCAAGAGGACTGGATGTGAGGGCGAATTAACACAAACTATGCTTAAAGCACATTCTTAAATCGCCAAATGATGTAAGAAAACTCGAAAACGAATCAGTGATAGCATTACACTCAATAGAATTGGGTCATACAACTGATTTCCTTTAAAAGGGTTTTAATTCTTACAAAGCAAGACTAACAGCTGAAGCCCTACACATACGGGCTAATCCAAATAGCGAATGTCCGGCGCTTTAACCGGATCCCAAACCAATGGTGCACATGGGCTCCAGTATCCTGCGGGAACAAATGGCCTATGAACCAATCGTTGGTCACCGGCTACCATGGGACTGCATCTCCTCACGATGCTCCATTGCCTTGTGGATCAGACCTTTAGGTCAAAGGCTCGGGGTGTGGTCTCCTAAGAAAACCACCTGGTTTGGTTTGGGCACCCGAGCAGTATCACAGCCCACACACACAATGATTCATATCTCCGAGGCTGTGACTTTTGTTCTCCACTCAACTGGGCTAGGACAGACAGCGGGGCAGGGCCAATCAGGGCACTAGGTCGTCCATACGTGTTTTCCGTGTCACTCTCACCGAATCGATCAATAAACGCTGCTTATCAAACCCTGCAGTCCACATCAGTTACAACAATTGGCGACGGGGTGGAGAAAAATTTTGAACCTTGTAATTGGACGAGATTCAGGTTAATTGTTTCGACCAATCAGCATCCAGATTGTCACCAGCGTCCTTGAGCAACATTGGTCATTATTCCTACAGTTAATTTTCATTGCAGGTGCTGAAAAAAAATTGACTACCTTTTCCGATCGATTACAGCTTCTACTTGAGCAACAACAGCAGTGCTTCAAAAATAGCCAGTTAAATTTTTTAGAAAATTTACGCACACTGTTGGTAAATGTTCCATGTTTCGGAGGTGCAACAGAAGTTGGTAAATTCATTTCTCATCTGCAGACTGAGCTGGAAAACAACTGCAGAACATATGAAGCTGTTTATAAAAGCCTCTGTGAATCCCGGACGACCAGTGATGTAAACGAGACAGTTATTCATGGTCCGCCCAGTTGTCCAGAAATGTCAAATTCCGAAACGTTCCCTGTCGTGGGTTCAAATCCCACTGTTCCTGAAACGTGTACAGACAGTGATGTACCCAGCTCACAGGAGGATCTCTTATTAAATGCTCATAAATTAATTGCAGTACCCGTCCACAACGGAACAGGGAACAAATCGTGCGGTACACTGAATCCAGCTGTTTCAAATGGTCCTCATCATTCAACAACAGGAGATTCTGACGAATCTTATTATCTAGATCTTTTTGTACCAGAAAATGTGTTAAATGCATTAAATGATGATCAGAAATCTAATACAATTTTGATAGATGTTGATTATCGCAGTGATCAACTGTTTACAAATGAGATTTTCAACAAATCCCGTGACAATGTTCCAGAAGAATCAAACGTTGGTGACCTCATATCAAGCGACATTGTTCCCCACTATTTAATCACTTTCAGTGACTCCCCTGTTCAATCTGACAATTATGTGTTAAATAAAGTCAAATTAATTCTAACTTGGGAATATGAGGACCCAACATTATTTCGTGGGGGAGGATGAACCCAGAAAATTTCAAAATCCGGATATCAACTCCGGATCTTCAAAAAAAAGGGGAGGTGTTGTGGATGCGCAGGAATAGACCAATAATTATCATGTTAAGTCCAGTGGTGTCCTTGGACTTTAAATGTACATTCCCTATTGGCTATTATTTATTCATTCGTTACATATTGCGTAAATTGTTGTTTACTATTTTTATGGTACGCTGTGGTATGCTTGACTAGTATATAAACAAAGTATGTTTGAAATATAGTGATTCATATCTCAGAGGGTGTGACTTGTGTTCTGGACTCAACTAACTGGGCTAGACAGGGAAGCGAGACCAATAGAGACTCTAGGCCGTCCGTACGTGTTTTCCGTGTCACTGTACTGCGATCGATCAATAAATACGCTGCTTATCAAACCCTGCAGTCTCACAACTTAAATTCATTGGTGCCCTTTTGTACCAATATTTATGTGTTGAAATAAAAATAAATAATCCAAATAGTATTAATATTAGAGATGGAATGCAATTAGTTGTCCCATGGCAACTAATAATTAATAAGTAGACCTGAAATCCTTATTCCATTTTGTCTATCTTTTATTATCTGAATAGCAACAATTACCTTCAACGCTTCTAATCAGTTGTCTTATCTAAATATGCTAAACAATTAACTGAAACAATAAAAATTGTACAAATATCCATTCCTTTATTTCTCTTCATTTTTTGCATGCTGTGACATGTTTGATTCATATCACGTGTAAAAATAGTAGTTTTCTCAAAAATCCACCGATCAGAGACAATATATATTGAATGACCACTTACGCATAGATACAATCTGTTATCTTAACACCGTTTCACACCACATGTCTCTCACACACTAGAGCAAATACCTACTTTAAGAACTGTTAACGTTAATTAGATGACCTACTTAGTATATAGTTAACCAGAGGACCATATACCTATTTTTATATTTGATAATTTTGATGTTTGATTATAATTGCTTGAAAAACGTTGGACCAGATTACTAGGTGAAACGTTGGATTTACCAATTCATTCTCTGAGATTTTACAAATACATTCTTCCTTATTAATGTCTCACACTAACCTGGTGCTCAAATACTGTGAAACTATTTGATCAAATTTAGAGGGGAATTTTTATAAATTTAGGGACAAATATTTTTCAGCTATTCTGTGAACTGTTGTGTCAACAGTTATTAGGACACTAGTGGGTTAAGTTATTCAATAGGTTTATTAATCAACCAATCTACCTCGGTGCGTTTGTAAATCAAAAAATCCTCACACTAGCACGAGATCCTAGTTTCACTCCTCCAACCTGTTATTCTCAATCGAAACCGGATGTCCACCAACGTATTAAAATAACAACTACACTGCATAAAATTCAGCTTTGTTTTGCTTTACAAAAATTAAACAACTTTCATGTGTAAAGGAAACTCATAACTTAGAATTATTTGGTTTTCTTATTTACTGGAATAAACTAATGTTCCTTGGAAGTTAATGAAAGTCCTCTGCAACCATGTTACATTTTACGTAGACGAATTCTATTATGGTTAACAGTCCAAATACTATTACTCCTTTAGATATTTAAAATATGGCCGGTGAAGAATCGATAAAAATTAAATTAATCCTGTTAGGAGATTCAGGTGTGGGGAAGACAAGGTATGTTCTTCCATATATATCATTTAGCTTCTGCAAACTGCTTTCTTTTATATAGTTTAATTCGTCGATTTGTTGATGACCGATTTACACACAATGAAGCGGCGACGATCGGTTTCGATTTCAAACCATATCAAATGGTTGTAGACGGAAGAACAATTCAGTTTAATATATGGGTAAACGTCATGTCATAAACATTGTAGAACACTTATTTTCATGTTATTAGGATACAGCCGGTGTTGAACGATACAGTAGTTACTTGACTCCTTCGCTTTACCGCCACGCTCATGGTGCTCTTTTTGGTAAAAACAAGCCTATAGTTTTATTCTCCTCATCATTTTTAGTATACGATGTTACTTCCGCACAAAGTCTTTCCGGAGTGAAATACTGGGTAGAACAAACCAGACAATTCTGTGGTAGTCGACTTTTAAAAATGCTTGTTGGCAATAAAATTGACTTGGTTAGTTTGTTGAAATTATCTTTAGAGATATTCTATCCATAGGATAATCGCATAGTTTCAAAAAAAGAAGGTTCAGATTTCGCTCGAAGTATGGGGTCAATCTTTGTTGAAACCAGTGCAAAAACAAGTGAGAATGTCCGTGATGCCTTTGTAGAACTTGTTCGTAAAGTAAGTCTTATTTTTGTACCCATTAGTATGTATATAGATAATGATTAATTGAAACGAATAATTGGTCGGTGTATTTAGCAATTATTATACTAAATTTTCGGTTGGTTTGTGATTTATCTTATTTCATCAGAAATTCAACTGGTTAAAACTAACTAGTTGTTGCGTAATTAATCTCTTTATATGCTTTGGGACATTCGTGTGTGGCCCCTTAAGAGAACCTCCTGCTTCGGTTTGGGCACCCGGGTAGTATCACAACCCACACACAAATCAAGTGACTTGTGTAGTGCATATCACGACCGTTGTTGCTACCTTGACGTGGTGGTCGGGCTTGCCTATCGTGATGAAGCAACCGAGCTATACTGACTGGAACAACTGTTCCTCAAGGTCCTACCACGTCAGAAAGGTCGATTGAAGAGCGGTAAGACTAAAAGCAACAAACCCAAGGTCCGAAGGCGAAATCGTACTGCTGACTGTACAGAGGTGTGACAGCAGTAAGGTGTTTCCTTCAGACAACCAGCATGATAGCGATGCTGCCTTCCCACAAGGAGGGGTGGGGTTAGAAAAGGTCGACTATAAAAATGCACACCTCGCCTTATCCCACGGATATCAGTCTCCGGCGGTAAGGTCTCAACAAGTACGGAGCTAACACAAAAATTGCCCATAAAAAGGTCGTGTGTGACCGACCTCAAGCAGTTGTCCCTTGAGCACTGCGGTCACGCTCCCAGGTCACTAAGACCACTTCTAATCCGATTTCCTTTTCAGGTACCTCCAGAAGAACCCTTCCACGGTGTGGGCAACCGGGAAGTGATAACCGCCCTCATACCTCCAACAGCACTCAAGACCACTGTATTCATAATCAACCTCCCTCTTCAATTCCTATTATTTTTCCTACATCGACTTCAAACTCTAAACTTCTTTTTTCGGCTTCCCCCTCAAGTGTCACCATAGCCAACGATTCTAGTGCTCAAAACATTGTCCCAGGTCTACTGAAACCTCGCTCCACACTACACATTGGAGCCTTCAACGTACTCACCCTATGTCAAATCGGTCAGCAGGCTTCCTTGGCTAAAACCCTAGAATCTCTTTCCATTGATGTATGCTGTGTCTCCGAAACACGCATACAGGATCCCAGTGTGGTCATTCACTTGACCTCACTTCGGCAAAACGGAGAGCCAACGAGATACACCCTCCGTGTATCTGGTGACCCGATGGCCAGCTCTCGTGGACTGGCAGGAGTGGGGATAGCACTAAGCATGAGGGCCGAACAAGCACTGCTAGAGTGGATCCCCGGCTTTAGTATCCTGCTGGAACAAATGGCGTATGAAGCAATTGTCGGTCACCGGCTTCCACGGGACTACATCTCCTTACGATGCTCCACTACCTTATGGATCAGACCTTCAGGTCGACGGCTCGGGAGTGGCCCCCTAAGAAAATCACCTGCTTCGATTTGAGCACCCGAGCAGTATCACAGCCCTTACACATATCGAATGAGATTTGCGTGGCGCATATGTATTTGGTGCCTCCTTGTACCAATATCTATGTGTTAAAATAAATAATAAGTAATGCAGAATATATACTCATCCTTCAACAGATGATGTAAACAAAAGTCAATTTTCGATTGATTTACTCATTATCAGTTTTGTTTAACATTACTTCCGTTTTGATTCAATGTAACGATGACTCAATGTATCGTTTTTTTTCTCGTATGATATTTTATTCTGTATAATATGCGATATTCTTGTATTCCATTGACATGAACTATGCTCAGTAAGTGATTTGTTATAACTGAGTATCTGATTCAATCCTAATTATTAATCAAAATGGGTGTACAGTCAATATATAAATGAGTGCATTTTTGACTAGGGTCGTCGCCGTCATAGTGTTTTGGGGCTAATAAATCTTCACTTATATAAGTCTTTGTGTTCTTACTTTCGCGTCGTGGGAATTGCAAAGGTCCTTCGTTCCGAGTATAAGTGATAAGCGTTTCCGACATAACAATCAGTGATGACCAGATACAATAAGTAGCATCAAAAGAGCCAAGACAATAAGCATTCAAACGACAAGTTATAACACGATGCCTAACCACAATCGTCTTTCTTGACTTGAAAACGGCATTTCACTTTGTTTGTTCAGAGGTTTGATGCCAGTGTTTGTTATTAAAAAGTGTACCAGAAAGCGCATTAGTTTCTTAAAAATTCAAATCGACTTTCACTGTTTGCGGTCACGCAGACGACGTAGTTCATTTGGTGAAGACACTAAAATAATCATTACCCTTCAAAACACGTTTGGCAGTAAAGCGAAAGGGGTTATAAACTTCATTGTGAATCGAAACAGAAAGTGGAGTGGTCGAGCGTGTTGATCGCTCTACTCACCTTAAAAGTTTTATTAGCGTGTGTGTGGTCGGGGATTAGAATAAAAAGTTCTCCCCTTTTGACAACTTGAGACACTTGTGGCAAGATGTGTATGAAATATAGCCTATTAGATTGGAAGATATGCATTTAGTCACTGGTGTCTTCTTGTATACTTAAACCACTAAATGACCAATTCTAAGGTCTTATTTATTTATTTAAACACATAAACATTGGCGCAAGGAAGCACCAACTAGATATGCGCCACATAAATCATTCGATTTATGTGAGAGCTGGGGTTCTGCTCGGGTGCCCAAACCGAACCAGATGGTTTTCTTAGGAGACCACACACAGAGCATTGGACATAAAGGTCTAATCCATAAGGCAGTGGAGCAACGTTAGGAGATGCAGTCTCATGGTAGCCGGTGACCAACACTTGGTTCATACACCGTTTGTTCTCTCAGGATACTGGGGCCAGCCCATGTGCACCATTGGTTTGGAATGAGGGTTTTCCAACTTTCCTAGGTGAACTTGCCGTGTTCACTAACCCAGTTATAGTGCCGGACATTCGCTTTTCCTCCTTTCAACTTCGTAAACAACACCTTTAATTCGAGAAGGTAGTGAGTAGGACTTCTGTGGCAGTGGTTGTATGCACGTGGCCATATAAGAGCATTTGGAGAAGGAGAGCTGATTCTCCCCATTCTCGTCTGTACCAGGGCATTTGAGGGCGCTCGTCGGCCTAAGCTGTATTTGCAGCTATAAGCTTGCTGATTATGATATATGGTTTGAAACGTTGGGTAACACAGTTACACAGTAGCATTCATTTTTCATCTATATGTAATTCTTGAGCATGATGTGTTGTTATAGTTTTATTCGTTTCTTTTGTACACTATGTCTCTTGTGTTTAGCCTTCCTATACAATTTATACGATTATTCCTATTATAATGATGTTTATGGTGACGATGATGTATGATATGTGGTAAACTGGAACGATATACATTCATTTCAGGCTTTACTTTGATTATTCTTCGTATTTATTTTAGTTTTAAATATCCCAATGTAATTCATTAAGAATTTGTTTTGTCTATAGATAATTACAGTCTTGAAATGTTTATATTTTTGTTAGAGATACACCCCGACTTCAATTGATTGCTAGACATTTCTTTATTAGCCTCAGTCACCACAAATATTATAACTTCACTAGTGTATATGACTAAAACGTTCCTCCATGTTATGGATTTTAATGTGAGTTTAAAATAAAAATTTTGTTTGTTTGTTAATTTCTTGACATTTCTATCACATTTGAATAATCTAAAATCCTAGATACTTCAAGATCCTGAATTCCTGTCATCAACGTCAACGTCACAACCACCTCAAGGAGTATCCTTTGAATCTACTCAACCCAGCTCATCATTAACATGTCCTTGTTAATATTAGAGGGAAATTCACAAGAACGCCGGGAAATACATTCAGATAATCTGAGATCAAATACAATCGACAATAAACCAATCAATCCTGCTTTAAAATGCAAAGAAATCAACTGCACATTTTTTTAAATAACTGTGATTTTACTTATTCGTATATTCATTCTTCCATCGTTTTTTATATATACATATTCAATAATAATCTAATGTATTGAACAAGTGCTTATTCGTATGAGAACGCCGTGCTATGATATAACATTACTGAGTTATATCTCTTTTTCTTGTAATTAAATTGATCATATATTTTTGTCATTATCTTTGTTCAACATAATAAAAATTAGACCATCCTTTTTCATGAAATACTTGTGAAGTATGAAAAATCATTCGATGCAACATAGAATACATATTATGATTCGGATTTGGTATACAAGAATTATATTTACTACATCCTTTTTAATGTTATCATCCTGTGGTACTATTCTATGAAGTTATTGACTGTTGATTTGAGCCATGGTGGTTAGGTGCAGACTATCTGGTTAAGGCTCGAGGGATTATCATAACAATAGTTACAGATGTTAAATGACATGATTCGGAATCGGTATTAACAACGGAAATGCACTCATTCATTATCTCCCCCATTAAATCCTGAGTTTCAAAGATATGTCACACTTTATCCTGTCGAGATATCGTGTTATATTTGGCGGTTATGCGATTCTGATGCTTATATGTATCCTTCTTTCATGTAAACCCAATAAGTTACTCGAGTAAGAAGACAAAAAATGAGTAATCAGACCCTATCACCTCTCCCTATTGAGAAATCGATCTTCCTCTTAAGGTTCAGCTGCAAGAGTTGCACTGGGGATACATTAAATTCTTTAATTTCAAACCATATTTTTGTGCATCGTTTTTACTATCACAGATATTAATATTACTTCTACTCTGACATACTTCGTCATTATCCCATCTGTGGTGTAGTGTGGCGACTTCAACGGATGTAAATATGTCTCACGTTCTCTACTTTGCTTATAACTGACTCACTCATTTCGTTGATTCCCACATAAATACACAGCTTACTTTGAAGGATATCACAACTCTTTACCACTAACTTCTTTTTTTCTACTCAATCTCATAATTTCTGTTTTTCACAGAGTTATTCTTATCATTGATTTAGCTGGTATCAGAACTTAACGCGTATTTTACATGTAGTTTAACTGTGCATCATAATCCAGAGAACCGGAAACACAATACCAGTACTATAACTGGTTTGCGGTAAATATGTCTATGTATCCCAGAGGTAATATATTTTGAGGACTTACAAGTTACAGTTGGACAGTTCCCTAGCTTTACCTAAATCAGAAGTATCTAATCACAGATACGATAAATTTTATTTCTAAACTACAAGAGTATATGGGATCGGATAATTTTGAATATTCGGTAAAATATTCCCTAATTATCGAAATATTTATAATAGTTCATGTATTCTATTCAGGCTTTAGTGTTTACGATATAAGAATTTTGCTCTGCTGAACTTAGTCAGGAAGATCTACTTTTCGACTAATGTTTCTGTTTAGCAATCATTGAAGCTTTTTTATAACCTATTGGAGGAATCTATTATCAATTCGGACAACATTCAAATAGATGATAATTTGCTATGTGTAACAAGTTACAAATTATAAGTAGATTGATTAAAGTTAGACATTAACATTCGCGCGCTAGAACAAAGGTCTTAGGTTCAATTCTCGGTTGCAAGGTCGTTGATGCGTACTACTGATGAGTCCAGTCATGGGTCGAAACAGCCGTCTAATGCTTCCAGGTTTCCAATGACGGTTTAATTTGAATTCGTTCAGCCTTTCAATCAAACTGCAAACACTAAGATTATTAGGTCTTCTTTATTCGCTTTTATTCAGTTTGGGATTTCTAAATGTTACAGTTGATTTTGAAGCTATTTGCAGTTAGATCCGCTTTTCATAGCTGTGTGCTTTGTGTCCTCATTATGTGGAGATCTAGTGGGAGTCACTTATAGTTTTGGTTACCTATGATAGAAGTTCTCTGCGTAACTTAAATTGGTGGTCATAAAGATTTGAAGGGCAAAAATGCATGGGTGATGCTCGTCAATCAACTAGCGTACATAGATGATCCTGAATGTTAGTAACATCTATCATTTGATTTGTAACCAATCACTAATATATTGTATTTTAACATACAACTAAGCTCATGGCTTCGCAAATTTAATGGACAGAAACTGTCTGCACATACTATAAAAGTACGGAAATGTGGAACATCACACAAAGATGCGGCTAATGGTACATGAGCCGAATTTATTGGTAACGGGTACGAAGAGTTTCAGTGCTAATAAATATGTTCAGGCTAGTAGGAATTCTCACCGTTCATACTTTCATATATATAAACTGATCTTTTCTGTGTAGATTGATGAATTGGATCTTTATCGATGTATCTGTCGATTGCAGACTGACCTGATTGCGGTGTTTCCAAAAGTTTCTCTGACATTGGAAATTCCTCAGTTTGCACATTTACATCCTCTCAGTCATTTCTGATGTACGTGGTTTCCTACACGTATCAGTAATAATCAAATGAGTATCATGTTGATTTACTGCTATCATAACTCATTAAAGAGATTTCAATCAATTTTCACCAGATTCTTGTCACTTGGGTCATTATTTTCTCAGATTATAGAAAAAAATAGCTTAAGTTTTCTGTTGAGCTCTACATTCATCAGCACATCTAACCATTTTCTACTCTATGTAGAGATACTGTTCACTAACCGCTCGTATCTAGCACCACATTTAAGCTACGTAATGAATACTACTTGTAAGTAGTAGAAAAATGTAAAGCTAATATGTTAAGGACCTGGCTATTAAGCTCTTGTAACAGCCTACTAAATCTTAGTAATTTTCATTGAAATAACAATTGTGACTAGTGTCACGAAAATTATTTGTTTTTTTTTACATTTGTAAATTAGGTCAGTTTGATTACCCCGCCACTGTGATATTGACACACTTCAGTGATGAACTTCACATTTGTATACTCCTTATTAGTAAATGAATAAAGGCATATTAAAAATAATAATAAAAAAAACTTGATTACTAAGAAGTTCATTATAATTTTACATGGTTCGTCAGTTTCCATGAAGGTTTCTCTGTGTTTAAGCAAACAGTTTTTTTGTTACATTAAAATCAACTTTATTAGAATGAAAAATTAAGTTTAAGCAATAGAAGTTTATTTATTTGAACACATAGATATTGGTACAAGGAAGCACCAACTACATATGTGCCACACAAATCTCATTTGATTTGTGTGGGAGCTAGGATTCTGCTCGGGTGCCCAAACCGAACCAGGTGGTTTTCTTAGCAGACCACACACAGAGCCCTTGACATAAAGATCTGATCCATAAGACAGTGGAGCAACATTAGGAGATGCAGTCACGTGGTGGCCGGTGACCAACGATTGGTTCATACAGCATTTGTTCTCTCAGGATACTGGGGCCAGCCCATGTGCACCATTGGTTTGGAATGAGAGTTTTCCAACTTTCTAAGGTGAACTTGCCGTGTCCACTAACCCAATTATAGTGCCGGACATTCGCTTTTCCTCCTTTCAACTTCGTAAACAACACCTTTAATTCGAGAAGGTAGTGAGTAGGACTTCTGTGGCAGTGGTTGTATGCACGTGGCCATATGAGAGCATTTGGAGAGGGAGAGCTGATTCTCTCCATTCTTGTCTGTACCAGGGCATTTGGGGGCAAGCATTAGAGGATTTCTTACAATTATCTTAATATCTATGAAATTAGGATGGCAGAGCTGTGTAATAAAAAACGGGCTATTACTGAATGCACTCGTAATGATGTGTGGTTCAGTTGTTAGCTTAATTTTACTAGATAAAATAAGAACTAATTTTAACTAACTTATTTTAAGGACAGTATCTTCATCATATAAAACGGACTTTACGTGTAGTTCTTTGTAGGCTTTTGTTTTGCCAAGTACTTCATAACTTGAGCTCCAGTACTGATGACTTTCTGAAGTTCGCACAAAAACCCAACAGACTTTGTCTTCATCATGTTTGGCTCTTCCCTGTATTGTTATTTCATCGGATGCATATGTGAGATGATTCTTTATATTCGTAGTTAACGTTATGAACTAATCTCGATGAAACAGCCATTAGAATCAATAAGCTTTCGGCAGCTGTCTTGTCTTGATATGAAACTCCTCAGAAGTGCGCACCACAACTCTGTCACTGAGGACCGAACTCAGGATCTTCGTTTATGCGTACAGACTTTTGACCTTTGGATGAATTATCCAGAAACCAAGGATTTGCATGATAACTGCAATCACTACACGGTATTGCGCTACTTATGTTTCAATAGTCTTATTAGGTAGCTGTATCATATTTGGTGTGGTAGGAATCAACTGATCAGTCTAATTAGAACTCCGAAATCACTTCAAGAAATTAACCACTAGTGAACACATGATTTTTAATTACTGTAATAGGTTTACGAAGATTGGATTTTATAGTTAATATAAATGACTGACCTTAGTTAAATAACCACTGAAAATGAGTTAGTACTTTAATTCAATTTGTAATGGTTTTGGGATTCATCCGTTGCTGATATTTCTGACTAAACTTTGATCGATCTCAGTTGGCATATGTGCATTATATGTAGATTGTCTCAAAATAGACATTATATCACAAGTTTGTGCATAACAGATGGAAAGTTGCTGTCAGTGTAATTCGGGACACTTATTTTGTCCCATTTAAAATTGGTGCACATCAATTCTGAGTACGTATATCCAGCTTACTTATGCTTTTTATCCCTGGTGGAGGAGCATGGGACGCTCATCAAAATTATTCAAAGAACTCTGTCCGAGGAAATGCTTTCCAGTTGCTATTCATTCTTGTGATGTCTGCTTCTAATTCTCGACGCAAATTGTTCCTTGGTCCTCCTCTTCGCAGTGTAGTTCGTTGTATGAATTCCGTACGATGTTGACGATCTCTGGTACACCATACCACTCTGTCAAACACTCATAATAAACAAAGTTGATAGATGGTTCTGAATTCTATTCAGTTGATTGTTCAGCAATAATCCGTCACGTCGCGATTTGGTCTGTACACGGCCGATAATTGCGGAATCCAACAGACGAATCTAAGACATGACGAAGCATGAGAGCTGGCCACCATAACTGGCTATATTTCATCTATTATATAAAAACAAGCAGCACTTTCTTTGTGACCAATGACGAATATTAATTTGAAAACTCCAAATACTTCCATTTAACTATAATAAAACATACAAAAACTCTGTACAACTTCTTTCGCCAAAGATTGTAATTTTATGATATTTAGCAATGTGTTTGCCTTCTCTAATTGTCTAGGCATAGTAATGGGTGATCGCGTTTGCTAATTGTATATGAGTATCTAATGAATATATTTTAACTAAACTGAGCTCTTCTTT